AGTTACTTTTCAGCTATAAATCTATGATCCTTTAATCATTTCCCTTTCTTTCTGGTTTGTTTGTTCATTTGTTTTTGTATATCATCCCTATTTTAAGATAAGGGAACTGAGGCAGACAGAGCTAAAATGACTTGTCTAGGGTCACATAGCTAGTAAATACCTGGGTCTGAATTTGTATGCAGATTTTACTGAATCTAGGTTCAGCAGTCTGTGCACTATGGTGCCACCTAACTTCCTCAAAGAATATCTGGCAGAATCATACCAACCAAAAATCCAATTTGATTTCTGGTGGCAAATTTGGCTGTCTGGAACCTATAATTATAATTAGTTTCCCAATTTCATAGCAGGCTTCATGAACAACAATTAGGAGACCCACACAATTTTCCATTCAGTCTGGTTCTATGGCAGTTACCTACAATCAGCTTCCATTTGTATGTTTTGAAGGGGACACAATGGAAAGTCTCTGAATTTATGTAGTTGATTTGGGGATACCTACTTATATTTGTATGTTCTTATTCTTACTGCAGTGATTTTTTTTTTTTTTTTGCAATTGGGGTTAATCGATTTATCCAGGGTTACACAACTCGTGAGTGTCAAGTGTTTGGTCTCAGGCCAGACTTGAACTCAGGTCCTCCTGACTTCAGGGCCGGTGCTCTATCCACTGTGCCACCTAGTTGCCCCCTACTTCAGTGATTCTTGACAAAGATGTCAGCCATCATTGATTCTTGTCTCTTACCTTCACTGTCTTAGGGAATACTCCCCTTTATTGAGTTTCAAATGCTTCCTGCAAAGGGATAATCCCACATCCACTAGAGGTAGAAGGACAATGCTTGGATTTAGTATGAGATTTGATTTTTGGCTCTAACACTTTCTATCTATATGACTTTGAGCTAAACATGTTGTCTATGAGCTTTAGCATCTACTATGTGCCAGGCATTGAGCTAGGTCCTAAGAAAATAAAGACAAAAATAAAACATTTTCTACACTAAAGTGCCTTATATTTTATTGGGAGAAACAACACATATTTGTGATTTCAGGAGGAGTCAGTCAACAGGCATTTATTAAAGGTTTACTAAATGCCAGGCATTGTGCTAAGTAGGCGCTATCAGCTGGAGGTGATGGTGGGGATTAGAAAAGGCCTCAGATAAGAGGAAGAAATTGAGATGAGCCTTGAAGGAGGCTTAAGAGTCTCAGAGGCAGAAGTGAGAATATATTCCTTCTAGGAATATGAAATAGTAAAAATTCACATGAAAGGTACATGGATTGCCATATATGAGGGATAGAAAGTCAGCTAGTTTGGCTGGGCCATCAAGTGTGTGAAAGTTAATAATATCTAAGTATATAAAGGTGGTCCTGAGACGGATTATAAAGGACTTTAAGCACCAAATGGAAACATCATATTTGTTTCTAGAAACAATAGGCAGCCACTGTAGATTCTTGAATAGAGGAATGACATGATCAACTCTGTGCTTTAAGATGATCACTTTGGCATCCATGTGGAGAATGGCTTGGAAAAGGAAGAGATTTGAGGCAGGGAGATCAAGTAGGAGGCTATTTGCAATAGCCCAGGTGGAAGGTGATGAGTGCCCTAACTAGGGTAGTGGCCATTTCACTGGAGAGAAGGGAAAACATACAAGAAATGTTGTAGAGTTAAAATTGATGAGACTTGGTAATTGATTGAATATATAGAGTAAGAAAGAGTGAAGAGGTGACCAAGTCACCTAAGATGACTCCTAGTTGACTGAAAGGATGATGGCCCCAATCTTGTAAAGTAAATAAAATCAGGAAAGGGGAAAGGGACATTAAGAAGGGGAAGATAATGAATTATTTTTCCAATACATTGAGTGTGGGATGCTTACTTCATGTGCAGGTCAAAATGTCTAATAGACAATTGGTGATGTAGGACTGGAGAACAAGACTATAGGACTGGACATAAATATCTGGGCAGGAATGTCCTAGCGTCAGCTTGAGTTGGCTCATAAGAACCTGTTGTTAAATTTTCAGTGTTAGCATTTGCACCTTAGAAATTGATAAATGCTGCAAATAAAACCTTGATTTATTATTTTTTGAATGTTTAGACTTAAGAAAATAATGGAAAAAAATGTTAATAATGCACATTAAACTTAAAACTGTGTCATGGACACATTGTTTTTCAGGGGGGAGCCTATTGTTAATCATTTACCAGAACATCACTGGATCTGAAAATCATTTGCATAGAGGTAATAAATAAATACATGAGAGATGAAATTACCTCAAGAGTGTTAAGAGGAAAAAGGAAGGTTACAGGAAAGAGCCTTGAGATACAATCAGAATTGGGAAATTGACATGGATTGTGAACCATCAAGGAGGCAAAATTGGAGAGGCAGAGGAAGTGAGGCAGGAGGAGAAACAAGACAGCAGTGTAATGAAATCCCAGAGTGGAAAAAGTTTTCAGGGAGAAGAGTATGGTCAACAGGACCAAATATTGCAGAGATTAAAAAGGAGGATGGTTGTTAAAAATCATTGGAATTGACATTTAAGATATCATTGGTAGCTTTGGAGGAAGCAATTTCAGTTGAGTGATGAGGTTAGATTCTGAAGTGAACAGCTGTGGAGTGGGGGGAAAGAAGAAGAAGCTCAAGGCAAAAGACTTCTATTTTCTTAGTGAAGTATGAGATGAGATCCACTGCTAAGAGAGTGGGAGAGGGTGGTGTGAAGATACAAGTGTGAGGAGAGAAGAAAAGGTTGGAAAGAGCTTCTGTGAGGATTGTGATAGGAAATCATTTAGGAAAGGATGCAAAGACTGCCTTGTTTCAGTGAGAGCCCAGTTGAGATTAGATAATATAATTTTGTCATGGACCCATTTAGCACATTTGTATGATTTCCTATTTAGTCATAGGCTCAGTAAGATTATAAGAGTCCCACAGTGGGAGTAATGTAGGGTGGGGTTTAGCAAGAGATGAGCAACAGTATGGAGAGAGAGAGAGAGAGAGAGAGAGAGAGAGAGAGAGAGAGAGAGAGAGAGAGAGAGAGAGAGAGAGAGAGAGAGAAACTTAGTACAGTAGGAAGTGTGCTGGAGTGGATAGAGCACCAGCCCTGGAGTCAGGAGGACCTGAGTTCAGATCTGGCCTTAGACACTTGACACTTACTAGCTGCATGACAAAGTCATTGAATGGGAGGAAGAAGAAGAAGAAGAAGAAGAAGAAGAAGAAGAAGAAGAAGAAGAAGAAGAAGAAGAAGAAGAAGAAGAAGAAGAAGAAGAAGAAGAAGAAGAAGAAGAAGAAGAAGTGCTGGATATGGAATCCGATGACCTGAGTTTGAAGACTGACTTTTCTATCTATTATCCATGTGACCCTGCACAAATCATTTAACCTCTTTAGGTATAAGTTGTGCTCCTATGATTGCAAAGTGGACAACAGTGTAATATTAGTTTGGTTAAGTAGGTCAAGATTGGGATGGGTAGAAAGAAAACTTAGAGCTGGAATGATGTCCTGGAAAGCTCCAGGAAAGCTAGAAAATGCTTAGCTTCTATGTTAAGGGGAAGGAGAAGGAGACTTTTAATGTGTCTCCTCAGTGTTTCTCTAAGTACGAAAAATGTGTGCAAAGAAAAACTATACTGCTTACTACCCTGGGAAGCCCCAAAGGGTAGTTCCCAGCAGGCAGCTAGCCACTTGCCCCCTGTTTCCAAGTAAAAGCTTATTTGTGAGACAGAATTAAAAAAAAAAAAACCATGAAGGAGCCTCCTCCACAAACTTCCCTGGGGATTGAGGGAAGAATTGGACTACATAATTGAAAAAAAATACCAACCCCATAAAATGTCCCAAATTATAATTAGAACACATAATCAGATGACTGTTAGTATCATTTTAAAAATCAAAGTCACTAAAGAGATTGAATTGCGTTTTCCCCTTTATTGAAAGGTACATATGCATATTCAAGCCCATAGGTTATGTAGGCACTGTAAGATAATGCTGATTTGTGTGTGTTTACAAAATCTCAGCACTATGTACTCCACAGAAATGAAGGTGCTTGCCTTCTAAAATAGGGGAGAAGGAAGTTGTATCATCAGCACATGTGCCATGCCATATTTTAACTTGGATGAATGAGCGAATGAATGGATAAACAAACATACCCTGAAAGGCAGTGTGTTCTCATCCAGTGATCATTAAAATGAGTATACCTGGATTCTGTTCCTATCTCCACCATGGACCATCAATCTTTTCATCAAGTAAGAACTTATTTTTATAAGAATTAAACACTTTCAAATAATTCTTTTATTTATATCGATTTAACTCTCTGGAAATTGCCACAATTATTCTTATCTCAAGAAGAGATTTACAGGCTTCATTCCCATTGAAATGCATTTAGAAGGGTACAAAGTAGCATGATTGAATAAATGTTAAACTAATTTATGGCATTTAATGAATACACACACATTTATTTCTTATTTAAGGGATACATACATTCTTTAAGATATTAAGATATAAATATATGCACATTCTTTAAGGAATAAGGTATCTGTGTAACATATATATATATATGTATATGCATATATATGTATATATTCCTTATGCATAAAGCTCATCATTTTCCGCCACATTTTAAAACAGCAATCCAGTGTTGTTGTTCTGTTTACAACATGTCATGGGAGTTTTTCCATAGTCAATATGTTGTTTATTTGCACCTAAAGACTGCACCACTCATCTCGCAAAAGATAAATATTCTTATTATGTCTGCGGACTCTGTTTAGAGGCTAAGGTTTATGTCATAGACTGCTTTCAACTGGTATATTTTGTGGCACAGATTCAATGGGAATCTGATCTGCTGAAAATATTTGGGCTGTGAAAACTCCCACACTGTGACAGATGTCAAGTCCAATTAAGTGACTCATGTCCAGGTTTCTGTCCAATAGGATTTCCCATTAAATATCAATTTAGGGAAAAAATTCCATCCTCCTTCTTAAGCCTTTATCTCTTACACCATCTCTAGGCTGAATCAATTGGTACCAGGAGAGCTAAGAAGCCACACACGGATCTCTGCTGTTTTTTTTTTTTCCTCTGCTCTACCACCTCTCTCCAGTCTTTCTCCTCTTCACTGTCACTGTGACTAGCGGGAGACTTTCACTTTTCACCAACCCAGCATCTTCAAGCTACTGACTATATTTTTATTACGAGGTAAAGAAAAGGGATTCCAGGGTGGAAGAGATGTGAGGGTGGGAGATGTGATATAGCCAAGCCTCGAGGGATTTCGAAAATATATATGTATTTATACGTACAAATAAACGAGGGCGAGGGAAAAGACAACATTATTCCCGAGTTACAGTTATTGTGTTCCTGGGAACAGGAGAGATACCGGCGGAACAAAGCCTTATCTAGGGAGGAAAATCCTCAATTCGGGTGAGATCGCATCTCTGCCCTGTATTTATCAGTTTTCTCTTAAGATTTATTAAGGGAAGGCAAGGAATACAACAGGAGAGAAATCTTATCTTAACCATCATTCTTATTGATCTGTTGGCCATTAGAAATCAGCTTTTGCTTTGATGGTGTTTATTTCTGCATCTCTTTTGTTATTTATAGAGACCTGGAAGCCGAGAAGAGTAAAGGCACAAGACTTTTCAACAAATCACGTGAAAATCAAAAACCAGCCAACGAATATTTTTATATATTTTTTAAAAGAGAGAAAATGTATTTTTAATATATCCACAAGAGAACCTTCATTCCTGTTCCAAACCGTGAAGAATTCTCTTCCGTCACCGTGGCCAACAGAGAGATGACAGCTTCGTTTTAATTTCTGAATACAACCATAATTTGTTGCTTTTAATTATTTTGTCCTCTTCCGAGTTGGGGATTCTAACCCCTACCCCTTCCCTCTTCCCTGGGATCTTCACTCTAAAAGATCTGAGACAAGATCTTTGAGAAGGTTTCCCCCCCCCCCAAGGTAAGTTTAATTCATCCCATCTCTTCTTTAGCACTTTAAAACTAACTGAGTTTGCACTGTGGGGAAAACAAACACATCTGAAAATGCATATTAGTTACTTTCCAAGAAAAAAAAATCCTACAGCAAATGCTGTTTCAGGGGGAAAAAATAGAAGCGAATCCAACCCGCTGTTCGAGGGCGAACTACCAACTTTGTACCCAGACTACAGCTGTGGATTGTCTTCTTTGGGTTTTTCCAAAGCTAGGGGCTTATTTAGGTCCATGGGAGATGAGTTCTAAACACAAATAGCCTTTAAATCATTGGGAAGGACTCTCACTTCTAAAGTTCGGTGTCTCAGCTTGTTTTCCTTTTCCTTTTTGGTTTTGTTTTGTTTTTAATGATGCCTCTGAAGGCTAGGCTCTTTTCTTCAGAGGAAGGAAGAACCGTAAAGAAAAGAATGTTTAAAAGGTATTTCACAACCAAATTTGTACCGAGAGTGCAGTGTCCAGGACAGTACCAGGAATGCTCTTTCTCGCTTTTATTTTCTCGAAAAGAGCACCCAGGTTACCTCGGAAATGAACTTGGACTCCCGGGGCAATAGGTTCTTGCATTCAGGGTTCAGAGGATTATGATTTCCTATGCGCTCTCTTCGCAATGGGATGGAATCACTAGCAGGTGATTTCTGCGCTCAGCGGCTCATTTCTTTAAACTGACGAAAGAGCGGAAAAAAGGGGTGGGGGCTGTGGAAGGATTATGAATTGTCAGTGTGTCTTCCTCGAATGTGTCTTTAAGATGAAGAAGCTGAGATTTCAAAGGTGAACTAGAACTTGGGAGTCTTTCCCCAGGGTTTTCGTGTTTCGGGAAGGAGTGCGGACCCCAGTGGTCTTAGCCTGGGCCTCTTTCTGGACAGTTAGAGCTGCTTCGAGCGCTCCCGGACTGTGGGATTTTCGAAACTTTACCCCTGTGTTGACGACTTGGAGGTCGCGTTTTCTGTAAAACGAGCGTGATGTCTTCCCTCCCTCCCAGGTTCTCGTCACCTCCAGCTCCCCACCCGGCTCTCTAGCCACATATCTTCCACCGCCACCCCCTGTCTGCAGACCACCACATTTCCTTCCCAAGGTTATTCTCGAGCCGCCGGACGCATTGTTTTATTACAGGCAGGCATGTCTCTATAAGTTCCTGAATTTGTATTGCTGTCTGCATGACAGATGGTGCTCTGTGAGGCTGCAAGGAGCTACGAGTCAATTTTCTTTTGAAAGGCGCCTCCGCGTTTATTTATTAATTTATTTACTTATTATTTCGGAGCCAGGGGAGGGCGGTAATGTGGGGTGGGGGAATCACCGTTCTCACCACCCACCGCCCCTCAGAGCCTACTCTCCAAATCCTGGAGCCAAGAATGACAGCGGCCCCTCCCTCTCCCGCCCGCTCCCACCCCCAGCACCCAAACCCAGCCCAGCGTAGCCCAGCCCAACGCTCTTCCCTGAGCCCCAGCTCCCTTAATTAGTCCTGGCCGGTCTCAATCTTGCTCTCTTTCCCTTCTCCCTCCCCTTCCATAGACTCTGCCGGAGGGGGGGGGGGAGGACCTGGCCTCTTTATAGAGCTCCCTTCCCATTAGATAGTAAAGCTAGACCAGATCCTAGTTTATGCGCTAGAGTGAGACAGAGCCTCCTCGGGGCACAGGGTTCTGAGAGCTGGAACCGGACAAGCGAGGCCTCGAGGTGTGTGCCAGGCACATGTCTGGGCTGGGCCTCCTGCTTCCCTTGTAATGGCCCAGTTACTCCTCCGAATGGACTGATTTGTTGTCCCTAATCATTCTTTTTGTTAATTGGGAGTGGGGGGAGAGAGAGAGAGAGAGAGAGAGAGAGAGAGAGAGAGAGAGAGAGAGAGAGAGAGAGAGAGAGACAGACAGACAGAGAGAGAGAGAGAGAGACAGAGAGAGAGAGAGACAGAGACAGAGACAGAGAGAGAGACAGAGACAGACAGACAGACAGAGACAGAGAGAGACAGAGTAAGACAGAGAGAGAGAAATGGGAAAGGAGGGAGGTGGAAGAGAGAAAGCAAGAGAGACAGAGAGATAGAAAGATACTGACAGAACAGAGAGACACAGAGAGACAGATGCACGCAGACACAAACAGAAAGGGAGGCAAGCAACAGACAGACCCCTGAGACTTAGAGAGTTAGTAGTTTACAGGTCGTAGAACAAAAACCCTGCCCAGAGTCGGGTGTACTCCCCCGTTTGTCCTCTGACTCTGCTGTCGATCCCTTCTTTGACCCCACCTAAGCTTGACTCGAGTGACTGGGACTCCGTACTCCCGGCTGGAAATGAAGCTGCGGCCTGCGGGAAGCTGCCACCAGGGTCTCTCCCCAGCCCAGAGCGCTTGACTTGCCACTTGGCCAAATGGCTCGCTCTTTAGGGGGAGGGCGGCCTTCGAAGAAGTGGGTCGCCTCTTCTGCCAGCCGGCTCCTGCTTCTCGCCCCTGATCAGCTTTGTCCTCAAAGCGCGCCCTCCCTTCTGCCGTCTCCCTTTCCCCTCCCTCTGCCTCCCCAGGGTTCGGTACCCGTTCCCTGCTCACAGGACCAGGGTCAGTGACTACTGTCTCTCCCCAGCTCCCTGTCATTCCCCTGGGATCCAGTGGAAGCTTAAGGTGTCGGGGGTGGGGAAAAAGGGGTGCTGATCCATCCGCCTGAGTGTGTGTGTGTGTGTGTGTGTGTGTGTTTCTGTGTTGGGTTGGGTTGTCCCTGGGGCGCTCCTCCATCCCCATTAAAAAGAGGGATTGATTCCTTTTTATTGTTTTAACACCACCCCCAGCCTCCAAAATGATGCTCAGTCCGGACCAAGCCGCCGACTCAGACCACCCTAGCTCTGCTCCCTCGGACCCCGAGTCGCTGGGCGGACCGGACGCTAAGGTGCTGGGCAGCGTGTCGGACCTGGAGCCAGTGGAGGAGAGCGAGGCTGATGGCAAGGGCGGCAGCCGAGCCGCGCTCTACCCGCACCCGCAGCAGCTGAGCCGCGAGGAGAAGCGGCGCCGCCGCCGGGCCACTGCCAAGTACCGCTCGGCCCACGCCACCCGGGAACGCATTCGCGTAGAGGCCTTCAACCTGGCCTTCGCCGAGCTCAGGAAACTGCTGCCCACTCTACCCCCGGACAAAAAGCTCTCCAAGATCGAGATCCTGCGCCTGGCCATCTGCTACATCTCTTATCTCAACCATGTGCTAGACGTGTAGGGACGGGAGTCGGGGGGGAGCCGGCTCGTCTGTCCCTGAGGCCTGGACAGACCGAGGCGGCCGTAGCCGGGACAGCGGTATTGGGGGTGCAGGAGGAGGACGCAATGCTGCTGTTGCTGCTGCTGCTGCTTCCCAGGAATGACTCTGACAAGCAGAGAAGCTTGGAAAATATTCTGCTTAGGGAGAAGGGAAAGGTGGGGCCACCCCTTCTGATCTCGATGGGGTGGGAGGGGAAAGGGGAGCATTACGATTCCGCGGATGCAGAAGGTTTTCAGTTTTTTTTTTTCAGTCCAGGAGTACCTCATGAACCCCATCTGAGATCCCACCTCCAGGCCCCCTCTCTCCTGATTATCTATTACTATCCCTTGCATGGGTCAGCTTGAGCTAACTCGAGGGCTTGCATTTTTTCACCCTGATCTGCAACTCCATTTTTTCTTTTCTCTTTTAAAGGATGAAGGCAAAAGGGTGTCTTAGGCTAGTGGGAATTTTTCTCATTGAAAAAATCACCAAACATTCAGGAAAAAAAATAATCTCTTCCAGTAAGATGGGAAGATGGGAAGGAAAGCTTTCCTTTTTGTAGGGACAAGAAATAATACAGAAAACTGGCAAACAAAAACAAACAAAACAAAAAACAAGTTGGCTATTTTGCAAGGTGAAAAAGAGAACCAGGAGGAAATAAACACATTGTAAGAAGATGTGAACTTGGCAAGATCTTAGCTGCAAGATATGAATAAAGAAAGAGAAAAATCCATATTTACATGGATAATTTAATATCAAATTGCTTTTTTCAGGCTAAGTGCCCCTTTACATATCCAAAAACATCTACTTGTGACCTTAAACATGTGACCCATGGGTGCAGTTAGAAAAAAAACACAACTATTTTTTATTTAAGTTATAAGGAGTAGACTATTTTTTTCAAGACATTTATTTTTCAGAGTGGTGACAATTTTACTTTGGATACTTTGTGCCAATTTATTTCTATAGTCAAGTGTTTACACTTTTTCCTGTGGAATAATTATGTCTAACTTTTTAAGTGTTTGTTGGGGTTATCCAGTGGTCTTCTTTTTGCGCCAATTATATTGCACTTGTATGACCAATGCTCCTCCCTGTTTCTAAACATATTTTATATATTCAGATGTTTGTTCTTGGAGGGGTTTTTTTTTTGTGTGTGTGTGAGATCAACAACACTAGGGCTTCACTATTATAGTTTTTTAAACAGAAGTACTTGTTGTTATTCTTATCTGTAGTTATGTCAGAAAAGTACTTTGCAAACAGTTTATATAAGGAGAGTAGCTTCTTTGTGTGTGTGATGTATGTGTGTGGGATGTTTTTAGGAAATTGAGTTATTTTCCTAAAAAAATAAAATCCAGAACTGCTTTCCTCTGTGACAACCAAAAAAAAAAAATCTATAACCTGAAAATGTTTCATGTTTCTGCTGTGAATCTCTTAAAACAAGGAGCGCGTTTTAAAGACAAGAAAAAAAAACACATCTGCTATCCAAAGATTTTAGTCTTTTTCAGGGTTTTTCTGTGTCGCTGTTGCTTTATATAATGCAATATTTTGTAGTGAAAATAGATATAACCTGGTTTCTATCTGACGCATTTTTCATATCATGAATGGTGCGCTGTTTTGCATATAAATAAAGTTATCAAATACAACTCTTTCTATTTTTTAACTATGCTGTCTGAAAATGTGAAATGCACTATAGTTGAGCATAGCATGTCCTAATAGAATACAACTCTTCAGAAAGGGTAAGAAGGTCCTTAAGAATCAATGTTTATGTGACAGAATATTTGATCTACTTTCTTGATGTGAGGTATAGTATAGCTGTAGACACAGCTCACATGATATAGACATGGACCATAATATTCACATTTGGGGGGAAAAGACATACTATTGCCAAATACATACACACACATGCACATATACATATATATGTGTGGGTGTCTATATATGGAGAGAGCATGTGTAAATATATATATGAATATATACATATACATACACTTTGCCTCTTCTATGAGTATATATGTATGCGCATGTGTGTGTACACATTCTCTATATGTGTGTCTCTATGTGTATATATAATATACATATTATATGTATATATTATACATTATATGCATATTATTAGATGTATATATTATATGTGTATATGTGTATGTATATGTGTGTGTGTGTGTGTGTGTATATTCTCTGTTAATAGTATGCAGACAGTGCAGGGGTCCCACCACTCTTTTGTAAGACTTAAGAGTCCAATCAGGACTGAAACTCAAAACTGAATACCAGTCAGCAAAAAAGAAAAAAAAAATAATAACCTTGAAACGTGAAGTACTGTTTATAAAACCCATAGATAACTTATGGGCACAGATCATGCTGTTCATATATAAGCATAGAGCATGTGGAGAACTAGAAAAAGAGCATATTTTCATTGGAAAAGGACACTGACATGCTGGTGGCAGTGTCTATACAATGCCAAACATCTGGATGAAAAGTTTAAGATTCAGTCAATCACCTGGTTATTGGATTTTTTATGTGCAGATCATCTGAAGGATTAGCTAAAATGTTGATTTTTCATGCAGCTATCTTGGTGCTTTCTATGTGTTCTTATGTCTTCATATGAAAGTAATTAGGAAATATATGCATATATACATATATGTCTATATTTGCATATATCAAATAAATGCAACGTGTTATTACTGAGCTTGTATATCCTCTTCATATTCAGGAGGGGACCAGAAACATGTTGCGGTCCTAGACAAGAAGCCTAGTGGTGCTTCCCTCTTCCCTGCTTTTGGAGAATGGCCTAGCCTCATAGCTGTACCCCTGGCTATGATTCTCCCTATCTTGCAGTAACGTGTCCTGACTATGCCAGTCTGCTCACCCACATCCACTGAGAGAGTTGGGCTCTGCATTATTCTGTCCAGTTATCTACTTTGTGCCAGGAAACACAGCCCTGCTCTGTATCCAGGGAAAAGAATCTACTTCCTGCTCCTACAAACCTTTGAGAGGCCTCCTTCTTCCAGTTTATCTATGAACAACTTCTAGCCCTCAAATAAAAAAAAAAGTTCATTATCACATCACTAATAACAATCCTAATTCTCTCCTTTGCAATTAGGAAGGGACTACCAGTTCACTGTCTTGGGAAAAAAGACAGTAGAAAATTCAGCCTCTGATGCACTCCTGCATTTGTCCTTTCTTCAGTCAAGGACAAAAGAAGAGAATCACACTCTGGCTGTTAGTGGTTCCCATGATCCCAGGATATGATCTGTCTTGTGCCATTTCAAAATCAGCCTAAAGAAGCACTGGCTAGGAAGAAGGCTGGTACTGGACTCCTTTGCTATGCAGATAGGCAAACTCATTCCTGATGTAAACCATGGGCAGAGAGGTTCTGCTCAGGTATCATATTAGAGTGGTCAAATATAGCAGCTGCCACATTTGCTTCCCTGTCAACGGTTTCATCCCAAACCTGATCCAGCAGCCTCCTGTGCCAATCACGAATCTATTCTTCTGCCCCATAGCTGCTTGAGGATGGCCATCCTTTGGATTAGTATAGGATGTACACCTTGTTCTTTAGGCCCTCCTTATCTTCTGCTATGCTACCTATCCAGTACAGTAACTTGCCAAGGGCAGTCTTGTCTCCCTACCAGAAACCAAGTGAACTTGGGTCAGCTTATAACTGCCACTAATACCAGTGCTATTTCCTATGCATGGGCCATTTCCTTGGGTCTCTTGCTATTGCCAGGATGCCATTCACACATGATTGTCCATTTGGCACAAAAAAAAAAAGAGTCAAACAGACATGATCTCTGCCTTCTAGAAGTTGATAGTCCAAGATGGGTAATACTGAAAAAGCATCATCTTCTACTGACAGCTTAACATTTTTCTTCACCTAAATGTCCTACTTAACTCTTAAACTCAGCATGTCCAAGATTAAACTCATCTCCCAACTCTTCCCTCCTCAAAAATTTCCAATTTTTGTTGATGGCAGTAGAACTCTCCCAGCCATTCAAAACACTACATTTATTTTAACTCTTCCTTCTCTTTCACTCACCACTTCCAATCAGCTGCCAAGTCCTGGGTATTTTACCTCCACAACTCTTTCAACTGTCCCTTTTTTCTCCATTCATATGCCTACCAATCTAGTGATGGCCCAGATCTCCTCTCATTTGGACTATTATGATAGGCTCTTAACTCTTCTCCCTGCCTCCAATCACTCTGTTCTCCAATCTATCCTTCACCCAGTTGTCAAAATAACCTTCCTAATGGACAGTTAAGATCAGCAGTCCCTTGATCAAGTCTTCAATGACTCTTCGCTGTCTACAGAATAAAATACAAACAACTTATGTTGGTTTTTTAGGTCCTCTACGCTGGTTCTAAGATACTTCTCCAGCCTCATTTTCCACTGCTCCTTTTCTCACATGTTACTTTACAGCCAAAATGGATTATTAGTTCTTCTCCAGTCTCTTTCTACACTCTCCTACACCCATGCACTTTCATGGGCTGTGCCCCTACTCTCACATCTGAAATACACTCTCTCTTTACTTCTACTTCTTACCACAACCATCATTTATTAAATGCCCACCATGTGCCAGGCAGCATGCTGAGATCTGATGACATAAAGAAAGTCAAAATCATGATCCCTGCCCTCAAAGAGCTCATGTTATAAAGGAGGAGACAAATACAAGCAACTAGCTGTAGACAGGGCATATAGAGAATACATGGAATTTAATCTCAGAGGGAAAGACACTAGTAGTTGACGGGACTGAGGTGAACTTCTTATAATTATCTTCCTCCAAGGCTCAGTTTAGGTATCAAAGCTATCTCTAAACCACTTTCCTCATCCCCCAAATTGAAAGTGCTCTCTTCATTCTCAAATTTTCCTTGATCACTTTGTCTTATTCTTTCCTTTGTCCCTAATATATTCTACCTTGTCTCAAACATATTTGTGTGATTGTTGAGTTCTCCTAATAGTAAATTGTAAGTTCTTTGTGAGCAGAAGCTGTTTTGGTTTTTATATTTTCACACCCATCACCAGAGAGACCCTGGGGCATAGTGAATGGAGTGTTTGATTTGGAATTGGGGACACCTGGTTTTAAAGCCCTCCTTGGATACTTAACTAGATGTTCAGGAATGTACAAGTCATTTGCTTAACCTGGAGCCTCAGAAAGCCTCTCTGAGCCTTATCTACTAAGTTACAGTTAGATTAGGCTCTTCCTCATGGTTCCACTAATAAAACCACAGATTTTTGACTCACACGTAGTGCCTTGCATATACTGGACATTTAATAAACCTCTAATTTAATTTGTTGGAGTAAATAATAAACCATGAAAGAGTACATAGACTTATAATGGGATACTTATATTAGGTAAAACAAGAATTTCTGAGAGGTAATAAAGGAAGGGCGTGAGCCCTTAGGATACGGCCATACCAATAGTAAATGCTTATTAGATGTTTCATGTATTGTATAGAATGTAATGGAGTTTGATGTCAAGGTAGTTTTGGTGCCCACAAGCTAAGAAAGGTTCTTCATCTCTTTCATCAGCCAATGATTATCTTATGAAGAATATGGCATTTTTCAGAGCTGCTTTAAATAATGCAAAGGTGTTGATGATGTCTAGGGTGGAGCACTGGAAAATGATGATGGTGGTGGTGATGATGATGATGATGATGATGATGATGATGATGATGATGATGATAGCAACTCACATCTCACGTTAACACTGGGACAGCTAAGTGGCACAGTGGATAGAACTCCAGACTTGGAGTGTTCAAATCCAGCCTCAGGTACTTACTCTCTTACCAACTGTGTGACCACTTAATCCTGTTTGCCTCAGTTTCCTCATCTGTAAAAGGAGCTGGAAAAGTAAATGGTAAATCATTCCAAGTATCTTTGCCAAGAAAATCCAAAATGGGTCATGGAGAATTAGATATGAGTGAAGAACAACAACATTAACATAGCACTTTGAAGTTTACAAAGATCTTTGAGGTAGGTAGTGTATTATTTCCTTTTTTTCCAATGAAAGAGCTAAGGTTCAGAGAGGGCAGGTCACCCAAGGTCACATAGCTAGGCAATAAAGAATAAACAGGCATAGGACAGCATAGATTCTAGCTGCCCATTGCATTGACCATTTCCTAGAGCAGGGGTTCTTAAGTTTTTGCATTACAGATCCCTTCAGCAGTCAGGAAAATTTATGAGCCCCTTCCTAGAACAATGTTTTTAGTGAATAAAATGAGATAGGAAAGAAAACAAATTTAATAGACCTCAGTTTAAGAATCCTTGGGTTAAAAGAAAGCTGCAGTGGGTAGGAAGGAGCATTGATTACATGGGGTTTTGGAACAAGTTTTCCTGAAATGAATAGAATGAACTAGCTAGTAGACAGGAAAATATGAAGGAAATAAGATTGGTTGGAGAAAATAAAGATTTTGGATGGTCATTAGAGAACAGTCCATGCTTCTGTAAGGAGCTGCATGACATGGCAAAATAGAGATGAAACTTTGCTGAAAAATCTAGTATTTCTACTGAGGATAAATGGTGCTGAGAGCAAGGAGGCCAAGGTAGAGACTGTTGCCATAGTGATGAGAGGTGCCAAGTAGAGCCTGGACTAAGACTGTAGAGGTAATGGTCAATGAAGAACTGA